TTCGATATATCAACAACTTTGGAACGACATTAGTTATGTAACGGAGGAGGACCTTGTTACCCCTAATCTAAGATAGTTGTATCGGCCTTTGATAATGGTTATCTTAACCCAGTTTTTCCTGTCTGTGATGCAGGTAAGAGGGACTGACATTGAAAAAGCGTCTATTCGTTCTGATGGGACAATAAACCGAGGCCCTGCGTACTACAGGCTATGCACGTTAATGATATCTCGACAATTGTAAATTGAAAAAGAGCAGTCTAATTCCGCTGTCCTGGCAAAATATTTCTCTCATTGTGCCCTGCATGGCCTGTCTTCATTAGCCCACATGGTATATACAAGTAGGACGTAAAATTCCAATTCATTTTATTTGATGATGGTTATTGTTTTTTCTCGTAACACACATAGTAGCTACATTTTCAGACTATTTCTGAATATCTTCTCGACACTCTCACCTCTTCGTTAGTTTTCTTTCATCTCATCTGATCTATTTACTCAATAAATCAATCGTCAAATATTTTCTCCATGAGGAAGTTTTAACTGTTATTTTGACCAACCAGGCAATAATAAACATACTTCATCTACTAATGTTGACAGCTGGAATGGTTCGTTACTTGGTATCGCTAAATAAATACATCATTTTCTACCTGTTGAAATTACTGGTATCTATAATTGATGTTAATCTGAAGATCAGGTTAATTGGTTTCGGTCTGTGATTACATGAATTCAACCAAGAAATCCTATTTGATATGCTAATCGCTAGTAGGTTTATCTGCGGAGTTTGCCACACCGTCTGTGATCATCAAATGTGATAAATATAGCAATTATGTGAAATATTTCATCTGAGACATTCTAGGACTAATGCTGAATTGCCTCATGAATGCGTTCCTTATACGATGATGGAACAAATTTATTTATTTCATACAATAAAAACTTTTCAGAATTTTCAAAAAGTATACAATAGTGGTTGTAATGTGCTATTATGAAAAGAAATATTCAGATCCATGTTTAATATATGTACTTCTGAATAAGGCTTATACTTCATGTTAGAGGCTTGATTGAGTTTGTGTAGGTTTCTTAAAAATACAGCTTGAAATATTCCGCTTGTGTGCAGTCGTTCTATTACGACAAGCTATTTTCAAAAAGTGTTTTGTACTGAATAAAAGTGCGAATAGACGCGGTACGGTGTTCGCTTCAGGACAATCACAAGAGAAAATAGAAGCGAATACACTAGGTACGGGTCCATAAACAATGTACAGTTCGCATCACATGTTTTGTACGGATTCGATGCCACCACATTGGACACTGTACCTCGTCTATTTGCACCCTTAGTATAAATCCGAAAATAGACATATATTTCTTTGTCATCGTTTTTGAGTTAGTATATTTGACTGTCCGAGAGTATGATAAGTTGATGGTCCAAGAATATAAGTACAGATTAAGCCTATTTTTACTGTCAACTGATTGACAGTATAGTAATATTTATGTTGATAATTTACTCCATAAACTGTCTGATAACCGCATCATTATGATATTAGTATATCTGACAATCTGTCAATCTGTTTGACCAGAGATTTGAGATCAGTTACTGATGTTATCTTATGTTGTATGTAGTCTTATTATTAATGTAGTGGTTTGAATAGTAATCCGTCGATCTTAGCGAAATATTGCTAGCATTACCTGATCAAGCAAATATATCACAATTAATTTTGTCGTCGATTGAATGTTATATCGCCTGATCTGCTACATGTTAATGAGGACAAAATATAACCTCCAAGATCAACAAACCTTAAAGTATAGCTTTTGGATTGAACAACAACATCGATCTTGAAATATTATGCTCTTTAGAGACTAGTTGGTAATGGAGCACCAATTCCGGCAAAATCATAAAAAGATAAAGTCGTCTGCTTTTTTCCCGTATCAGACAAGTAAGCTCAATTTCTATTCACTTGCAATTAAACTTGAGCGTAAAGTGAAATATTAGATTATCGTCATTTCGAGATTATCATCTTTTCGAGGTCGTGATGTCATGATAGCAGACACGTGACAATGTCATTCATCAATTCATCTCTGAAAAGCCTAATACAGATGACTAAATTGAAGCTTTATCAACTGCTAAAGCAAATAGTAAGACTGTTAATAAATTCCATATAACACATCACAATTATCAGCCATGGATTTCATTACATGTACTTGACTCCGTGTACGATTTTACTATCAAATGTCACAAGCGGGTGTTACTCGCCTATTCCACCATGCATCATCTAACAAATACTGGTATGTCATTTCATTTGTTAAGAGACAAATGGTCAAGCAAGGCTTATGCATGCATACCTACTGCAAAGGAGTAAAGGTTGTGGACCTCCGTAATAATAGCGAATAAACGCGGCAGATTATCATTCTTACTCTGGAACTACGACAAATTGATAACAAACACAGTAGTTTACATTCAAGCTAAATAAAATTGATTTAAGGAATAACCATTGTTTTAAACATAATATTTATAAAACACAAAAGCAAAATGTAACAAAAACGCAATAAAAGTTTAAATATATGTTTTAGTTTATTAAGATAAAACTCTCTTAATAGGAAACAGTCCTCTAAATATTTGCTAAAATCATTTTAAATCGGCTAACACTATATTTTAGAATAGACTTTTGATTTATATAGAGTTAAACTAATACAAATCGGCCCATTTTTTCACAAGTGTTATTTTCAAACTAATCAAGTGTTTTTACCACTATCGAAAATGAAACCTTATGAATCATGTGCTGAACTTCATAGATCATGTTTGTTTGACACCACTAAGGTCAAGATTGAGGCATGATTTCAAAGCCGAAGCGATTCATATTGAACCAACGCTATTGACAACTTTAAAATGATGAAGCGAAATATAAAGAGGACTCTCGCAATCTATATTCGAACCAAAAACAAAGTTATTTCTAAAGAAATATGATTTTATAAAGTATTTTATGGAATAATATGTGCACGGCATTAAGGCATGGCTTATGAAAAATGTTAATAGTAATCCTTACAAAACATGTAATGTTAAAATATAAATGATATTTACTTTGTAGTCGAACCAGCCATGGTTAGTAAGACGCTCTCAGGTAGTAATAAGTCGTCAAATTTGTTCAATTTGAAGTATCTATAACAATTTCCAAGTCAAACCTGATTACTGTAATCAATGTAAATTACTTGCTATATTGTATCTCGGTCGTCTATAATGTTTTTATCTGGCAAAGGCAAATGCAAATTAGGATTAAAGAAACTGCCATCAGTTTTCTTATTCATATAAGTTTTCTTTTTGAAAGTGAAAAGGGTAGTTCAAATTGAGCTTATAATACACACAATAAGATAGACCTCTGACATCGAATCTGGTTTCTGAGGTTAAATGCTGACTAAGACATCTTTTACCCATCTTTTTACATTTTTTACCCATATCACATTTCAATTATCACAAGCTGTCCTCCAAGACTGAACAGTGAGTATACCATCGACGTTCGTCTGAAATGCCAAGTAACGAAAAGTTCTGTTGATATCCAGCAAGGTGTCGACAACTTTTTAGATGAATCACACACTCTACAGCTCTTCTTAGACGACTAACTTTGGATTATTTCTTGTGAATCTGAAAATAGATACCATCGATTAAATGTATTTTCTTTTCCAATTAAGTATCAACGATCCCCAGAAGCTAAAAACGGTCTCATTTAAAAATATCTGATTAACGATGGGCCACGAATATAATTTTGAAGACAGCAATTTTAGGAGTTGCATCATTACAGAAGATTAGATTACTTATATGAATTGCAAGTAACCTTTTTTCCACGGATTCGTTAGAAACACTCGTTATGATCTATTGCGTGCTAGGTATTTGAGAAATGGAGATTTAGATTTACATTACAATGTACTTATACATCTAATGAAGAGGTTTAGAAAATTGCACAAATTGGTCTGAAAACTAAACCTACCATATCATGCGCTGAGTTTTATGATGGACACTGTAAACGATGCGTTCGTGCTTTAACGTAACCGCATTTTCTTTGAATATGATTTTTGGTTGTATTTCGGTCATCGATGTTGACAAGTCGACTATAAAAGTATGATGTATTTGTTGATTGAGAAATGATGAACATTCACAATTAATTTTTGTTGAAGGCATCGCACACAGGTATTTCAGTACAAGTTCACAAACTAATGAAAGTAACAAAAAATAAAATCTCAATGTAAAAAGGACAGTTAATAAAAAGAAATTGATATTCCATTCATAATCTCGTTTTCATATACTCACTTTCGGTATGCAAATGTTCGGAATTACAGTTCATATGATTTAAAAGCATGTCTTTCTTGGATTGTTTTGGAGGATCGTCACAGATCGAAGACCATGTTTGTAAAGCCTGTTTATGACATACGAGTTTGAGCACCTGTTGTCGGAATTTTCGACCTGTCGCACAATACAGGAAAAAGTTCATAGAATGATTAACATACATAAGAAGTTCGGTTATTGTTTTAGCTAAATGGAATTTAGCAGTGTTATCACGTTCTCTATTTCCCTGATTCCAGAAATATGTAATGATCAAGGTTACGTTCATTGGTAATGTTGTTAAAAGAAACGTAAACGAAACTGTCAATAACATGGCTGTTAATTTTGAAGTTACCTCCGTCATTTGACGCCGAGTTTCCACAAAACGTCGGTCTCCAAAATTTTGCAGACGTTCACGACTGCCTTGCGCCTTTAAGACTTGGCGAATTATGAGTGTATTGAGTACAGTAATAATAACAAAAGGGAAGAATGAATAAATACAGGCATCGACCCATGGCCAAACCTGATCCACAAGAACCTGATATTCAGGGGGAGCACCACAATCCACCACTACCATGTTCCGAAAGTTTGTCTCCATCGAAATGGGAACTAGCTCTACAGCATTGAAGAAATGTGCATTGATGCAAAATATAATTAAAAGCAGGAGCACAATCACCTTTTTGGCGCGATTAACATTACACATTTGATTTGCCTTAAACGGGTGACACACGACAATATAGCGCTCCACCGTGACCGCAATAATGAGCCAAACACTGAAATCACTGCAAACGTAGCCCAAAACACAGGTCAATTTACATAACCAATTCGTCAAATCCTGGGCATCTATTCCTGTCAATTCATTAATCCACATCCGTAATAATCCAATATATAACACTAAGCTGTCAGCAATCGCCAGCGAAGCGAGGTAAAAGTATGTTGAAACTTTTAACATTGGCCGTCGGCGTAATATGATGAATGAAAATAAGTTTCCAAAGGTTCCTAAGATTATCAATATGGGAGGAACATATAACAATAATAATTTACTTATCCGAAATTCTGCATATTGCATCATAGGCTTCTCATAATCTTTGACGTGCATCTTGTCGAGAAGTAAGGCTAACGTCTGTTCATCTAAACCAGCGTCGGCCAAAACACGATGTCTCTGTGCTGGTGATAACTGATTGATTAAAATCCATATAGCTGTAACATTCTGTACCGCGTGTGTCGAGTCGAAACCAATAGTTCCCATTATAACACTAGAATATATAAATATATACATATACTTTAACGTGTTCAAGAATTTTGGAATGGTTTGTATGAGGAATGTTCTTTAATGACAAAATGAATGAAATGCACAATTATAACAATTTGTTTCATATAAAACATAATTCTCTTTGATAGGAGACTCCTGCATAATGTCGGATTAATTCTTATTTTGGCCGAGATACCGATGAAGTCATCTGGCCTTGAGAAATGCATCAGAACAGTTTAGTACACCACTTTTCGGTTTTTGTCGTGATGAAGTATTTTTGTTTTTTGAAACAATTGCACAAAGAAATAGTTAATAGTAGCTTTGGAGTTATTCAATTGCCTTTTACAAATTTCCAGGGTTCATGTCTTACTTAAGCTGGACATTTCCCTGATGTCTGTTAAAGAACTTGTAATTGGTAGGATTTTAATACTTCTACTTCAGGGACTAGAAATTGGACACTTGAAACTAATTAGGCCAGCCTTTATTAGAAGTATTATGTTGGGCAATGAATACTTTATATATTTCAATGGAATCGTTTACCGTAGAGGTTTTTAAAAACTTTTCTAGAAGCTGTATTTATGGAAAATTTGAAAATATTTTGAATTACATATTTAGCTGTCCAATATAATTACCTAATATTGAAGAGAAATGCATTTATTATTAATAGGAATGGTTTAAATCATTCAAGTATAACAATAAGTTATTGTTTTTTTTATTTCGCTAACACTATTCACTGTAAATGTGTTAATTGATAAAGCTATTTGAATTTTTCAAATGTTGTTGATATAATGAGTTATTTTTGCACATATTTCAAGTGATTTCCATTTCATAATAATTCAATTTTCTTCCAATTTAAATCAAGAATTAGCCTGGAGCGAAATGATAAATTGGTAAAAAATCTGCCTTTGTTATCTATGCTTAGAAGGTCATCAACAAGCAAGAACATAAATATGGATCTTATGCCAAGTCTTCACAACGAAAACCTATCACTAACATGAATTCTTGAAAGCCGGGTCTTCACAACGATAAGCTGTCACTAATATGAATTCTTGAAAGCCAAGTCTTCACAGCGAAAACCTATCACTAACATGAATTCTTGAAAGCCGGGTCTTCACAACGAAAACCTATCACTAACATGAATTCTTGAAAGCCAAGTCTTCTCAACGAAAACCTATCACTAACAAGAATTCTTGAAAGCCAGGTCTTCACAACGATAAGCTGTCAATAACATGAATTCTTGAAAGCTAGGTCTTACCAGAAAACTCTTTAAATTTACAACTGAATCTATAAAGATATTGAAAGCGTCTAAAGAATCTATAAGGTTATCTAGAAGATGTCTGTCTGAAATAGTTAAGAACCTTTTTAATCTCATGTTGTATAATTAGTACAGATCTAGTTAACATAGTTATCCCACCATACCGTACTGCAACATATGATTGAGCTAAAAGACGGGAATAGAACTCATCCGATCTTTAATAATCTAAAATTGATATATTAAACGGATGTTTTAGGCTTAATGTAGAACGAAATATTGCCTGATGGGATAATGGATCGGGGTTTTCAATGCGAAGAACCTTTTACTATCAGAATCGCATTAGATGTTTACGCCTACAATAACTTATTCATTAGTATTGCGTTTCAATTATCTTATGAAATCTTAAACCGTTATATTTTCTGGTTTTGTTCACAGTCACCTTAAAGGCAAATACTTTGAGTCACTTAAATAACCTCCCACATTGAGCAAGATCATATTTATCACCTTTGGCATGGTTAATTTAAGAATGTTTGTTTCTTAAAGGGTTCTTGTCAGTCACTTCGATCCCGATATCATTAATGAATACCGTCGATACATGATGAAAAGATTGTTGCTATTGTCTATTATTTATTTTTATATATACCTTCTTATATAATTCTTCCTCTTTTCACCCGATGATGTCAATGTATTTTGTTTAAGCGTAGTGATACCATAAAATTGCGTTCCGTAAAGTCGCTTCAAGATTATGGAAAGATAAGTAATCGTTAGAACAATTAAACAATATTAGATATGTTTACTGTGCCAAACCTAGGCACCAACGAACCAACGAGTTGAAAATGACAAAAGTTTCTGCATGATGGATGGCAAAGCTCTTGACACCCGATCAGAAACGTGTCAGATTTCCTATGACGAATTATACCGTTTTGAAACAGATAGCGATAATTTTTTGGCCTGATTTGTAACCATTGGACCTTGAGGCCTGGATTCAACCAGAAGGCAATATTCAGTCTTAACAATGGAAGCATCCAGAATCACCGCTCTTAATAACTTGCATCCAGGTCAGGAATATATAGAAAAAAATATATAAATGAAAACCATCTACTTTGTAGACTTTTCACTTTTCATCAAGCACTTGTTAATGCATTGAGAATCTTATGACATGTCCAAGGGTGCCTTTATCATTCGACCAAGTGCAATATTCTAGAGACCGACAACCGCCATTATCCAGAAGATCTAAAGAAATATTAATGTTAAGAAATATTAATGTTAAAATGTTTAGACAAAGGACGAGCTTAAAGAATCCTTCGTAACACATTGACTGTCAATTTTACACTCTGTTTTTTAATCAATTCATTATGAATATCAACTTTTAAAAAATTAACTTTTGACGTATTAATCGTATTTATTATTTTTTGCACTTTGATTGACGTGATCTGATTTTCTATCACGAAAATCATATTTAGATTTGTTCACGCGCATCTGATTTAATATCTATATTAATCTTCGTATTACAATTGCATGAGAACCTCAACAGACAGTAAAAATCGTTACGAGGAAACAATTTAGACATAACATGAACTATAAGTTCTTGTGTATTTTGTTTCATTGCTGCCAACGACATATTGAAAGTAGTGTCGTCGGGACATGGGTACAAGTGCACTAGATTTTGAATCGAGGATAATTACATTTGACCTTTTAATGAGCGTGTAGCATTGTACTTGAGATTGCAAGTAGTAAACAATCGCATTTCAAAGGTCAAAGGTGATGAGGCTTGCAACGGCCTGTATTTCGAGATACACGCCAAACGAATTTGTAATAGTTTTATGGAAAAAACTATAGCATATGTAATGTTCATATTTATAACAGACATAAGTAAAGTACATTTCTTTTGATATTCTTTGAAGAGAATATTGAATTGGATCCTTCAATATTAACAGGATTGGGTTTTGTTTGACGTAACTCTCTTGATAAATTACGGAGTAACAATTCCTTTCAGACCAGTGAAAGTACAAACTATCATAAACAACAACTGCAGTTTGTATACTACAGTTCGCGACATTGGTTACTGAGAGAAAGTTGTGAAAATACGATTATATATTCACGTATCACCGCTTTTCCAATTCGGCAAGGGACGGAAGCTCATCCATATAGCGTTACTATTTCAGAACCCAAGTCAGCATTCACAAAGTCGCCACTTGTCTGTAATGTGACCTTTAAAAAGAACACCAAATTCTTAAGACCTTACCGTGTAAAAAGATGTAAGACGAAATTTATTTAAGTCACATTAGCGAATAACCATGGGCATTGTTTAACCCGATCTGAAATAGTTCACGGCATCTCCACAACTTTAGGAGAAAACCTTCTCTTGGAGATTTTATAGAAAATTGGCCTATAGCATTCTTCTGTAAAGCCATGACAAAAAATAGCATATAACAGGCTATCTTTACGAAATGTCAACGATTTGTGTATTTTAAATTTTAAATTAAAATAGCAAATTCTGTCACGATAGGAATTTTATTATTTTAATGATAATAAAAAACATGTCCTTAGTGGGTTTGTTTAATCATGATACATCAGATGTTATTCGTATTGGAAAAAAATAAATTGCTGCCAATAAAGTCACGTATAGATTTTTAAAGAACAATAGAAAATTGTAGAACACCAATATTTGATTACCTTCAATATGTTTTTTTAATATTTCGTTTTTATCTTTATTTTTTATCACTTTGTTTCTACTGTTATTGTTTCTGTAATGCTGTATTCAACACACATACAAACATACTTTGTCCTTGGTCATCATGCTTTTAATTTATTTTATTTTCATTTAATATGTCAATTGCTAGGATTTTAAGTATTTACTAACAATATTGTGGTTGGTGATTAATTATATTATGTCTCATTTAGAAAGGAATTTTTGCAATCAATGAACGACTTTATAGATGGTCCCGGGTTCAAACCCGGCATAGGTCGAGATAATACCTTTGTCAGTGATGTAGGTCGGAGGGGCTGACATGGAAAAAGCGTCTAGTCGCTCTGATGGGATCATTAACTGAGACCCGTGTGCTACAGACAGGGCACGTTAAAGATATCCCGACTGTAAAAATCGAAAAAGAATTCAAAATTTCTTTCATTACACACTAATCATAGAAATATTTTGTTAGTGGAGCCTACATTTAATTTAACCTTTCCGATCACAATAACAGAAACATTAATCTACAATTTATGGTGAATTCATAAAAATTAACTCGGTCATAAAAATATTTTACAACGTCAGGTTTAAGTCGCCTTTATTGTGAAGGAGACATAAAAGTATGTGTCCATTATTTGCTTCTGTTTAAGTTTTCACATTACATTCTCTGGTATTAATCAATCTTCTTTTGCCATAGTGCAAGGCTAGACTAGCTATTTACATGTCGTTCTGATTTCTATGAATCCTTTTCCAACATTTTCAATTAACCTTACGTTCTATTGAAATAAAAGTGGGATATTTCAGAAAAAAAAGTTTAACTTCCGGGTTCTTTGTCTGGGATTTACATTTATCCTTTTGTTTGAATAAATAGGT